CTATCTTCCCAGAATTTGAACATTAAGGGTTCTTTGTCTTGGAAGCTCTTGCAGAGGTATGTTGGACCCTATCGGGTGTTAAAAATGCATTGGTGATATATCCTATCAGTTGGATTTGCATGCAGAGATGTCTAATTTTCATAATGTATTTCATGCCAACCTATTGGCTCCTTACACTATGGATGTTGCACGTCAAGGGAAGATTTCTCCACCACCAGATATTGTGGAAAAAGAACCAGAATACAAAGTTGAAACTATCTTGGATTCCTGGTTTCGGAGACGGGCTCGTGCCACCAGATATTGTGGACAGTGAACCAGAATACAAAGTTGAAACTATCTTGGATTCCTGGTTTCGAAGACGGGCTCGTGTGAAGGAATTGTAAGCTCCTGAGTTTGGACTTCTCGGGAGGTCACCCAGCCCAGTACTATTCAAACCCAAGGACACTTAACTCTAAGTATCCCAAGACTCTTAACTGATTGGAAAAGGGGGTGCACTTTTGTTCATGGGCTCTTTCCCTCTATATTTGAACCCCTATGGATCGTCTCTCAAGTCGTTCTCTTTGGTTGCTTACAGGAATATTTAGTTAATTGGAAAGGTTACCCGACTTGTGAATCAACTTGGGAACCTCTTAAAAATCTTACACATGCTCGTAAGCTTGTCACAGAATATGAGAATAGTAATAAAGACTAACTTTTATAAACTTTGTAATAAATCTTGCAAATCCATAAAGTAATATATTTTTATAAATCAAAGTGTCGTTTCTCTTGTTCGTTAGTACTTGGGTCAGTTTTGGTAGGCTGAATTTTGCACTTCGGTGCATGGGTTTAATCCATAACCATGGGGATAACTATTATAGACTGATCACAAGTCCTGGCCTCTCTCTCGATGACTCGTTTTTGAAAAGGGGCGTGGTTGTGTAAACAATTTAATCTACCAGTTTATAATAATTGTTTAAATCTTCCCGACATAGTTGATTTCTTGCTCAAGGGAAGTTGGGCCTCTAGCCTTCTCCTTATGTCCCTGCGGGCAGGGATGTATCATTTTTTTGTAAGGCGAGTGGTACTCAGAGTAGCAAGGGTGGCTAACTCCGTTAGTCATTTCCTTGTCGGCGACGGCTGGAGGGTGTCTGAGTTTTAATGTCTTTGGACGTAGAGGAGAGGTCATTCCATAACTCATTTAAGTCCGTGTGTTTCCCACATAGTGTGCTTTCCATTAACTTTCAAAGTTGTTTCCTTAACAGTTTGCTAAACTCGGGTATACATCGACAAGGACATCGATCTTCCCTAAGGGGGGGAGAGTGTTGCGAATGTGACTTCAGGTATCGAAAGATACTTGTCGGCCAGTCCTTACAGACACTCTTTCCTTACTGCCATGACAGGAAAAAGTTGGTATTGCTGGACCCTTTATCAGTCCCTCTTGTGCTAATGGAGTTAACTAAGCATTTCGAGTGTACTTAGACTAGATGAGCATAAGGACATAATTCCTATGTATTATTAGCTAAGCATACTTAGCCCCATATGGAGTTTCCATCTTGTTATGTCTTGCACTGGCTAGTGACAAAAACCCTCATGTATTGAGACTAGTCCCTCAATATTTCTAGATGATACCTTACCGTGTTTGCCAAACACCCTCACTATCATACCTTTTGTGTTAGTTTCATTTCGGTCCCAAATGCTCATAGATTTGCTCATTTGGCATATCTATGGAATGTAAAGATTATCTTAAACACAGTGGTGTTCATCCTATGTCCAAATTTGCAATCTAAGGACATTCCATATTTAGTGAGTTTCGAACTTGTCCCAGAAACTAACTCTTGATACTAAGGGACACTTGGGGTGAAAGCCCAAAGCGTGTGTTCCTCAAGGAGGCGGGGGGGGGGGGGGGGGGGGGCCAAAAGGGTTTTGGGGGGTTCCAAATGTATAGAAGGGAAAGGGGGTAAATCGGGTATAGTTAAAAAACTTGGGGCAAAGCCCAACTTTTGCTTGTTTGCCCTTATTTTGCCCCGGGGTGGGGCCTAACCCTAAGTTCTATTCTATGCTAGGGGGGGGAGACCCCATATCCTTGGGTTAGGCCCCTGGAATGCTAAAAAAA